GGCGGGAAGCGGCACCGGGCGGGGCGAGCGGCACCGGCACCGGGCGGGGGAGCGGCGGGAAGCGGGAAGCGGCCCCGGGCGGGAAGCGGCCCCGGGCACAGGGAGCCCAGGGAGCGGCGGGAACCGGCAGCGGCTGTGGGGAGCAGCAGGAAGCACCGGGAAGCGGGAGAACTGGGACCCTGCACCAGGAGCCGGGACCACCGGGAATTGTCACGGGGAGTGGGAGGAGCCGGCGCCTGGGGCTGCACCGGCTGTGGGGGGCGCAGGGAGCCGGCACCGGGAGCGGGGACCCTCGGGAACAGGCGCGGGAAGGGGGAGCACCGGGGAGCCCCGGGAGCCTCCCGGGCGCGAGGGGCTGCGGGATTGCGGGAGCTGGCGCCGCGGAGGCCCCGCTTTGCCCGGCCCCCCTTCATCCGGAGCCAGCAGCAACGGGAGCGCGGGCAGCGGTCCCCAAGGGCAGGGTGGCACGTGTCGCGGGTCCCGCCCTTGCTGGGGACACAGCCAGGAAATAGCAAGGGGATGGCGCTGCGCGGCAGTCCCCGCACGCGGGTTGGGGCACGGAGCCCCGCTCTGTCCCCTGGCCGGGACACGGCCACGAGCGTCCCCGGGGGACAGCCCGAGGGCGCGGCGGACGCCCCTGGGGGGGGCGGCAGGAGAGGTCCCTGGGGGGCTCCGGCGGGTCCCCCGCCACCTGCAGCCTCCTGCAGCGGCCGCGGGAGGGATCCCCGCTGGGAGGGATCCGCACCGGGAGAAATTGGTGCCAGGAGGGATCCGCACCAGGAGGGATCCACACTGGCAGAAATCGGTGCCAAGAGGGATCTGTAGCTAGAGGGATCTGCACCGGGAGGGACCGGCCCCGGGAAGGATCCACTTCAGGAGGGATCCCTGCCGGGAGGGATCCAGTCCAGGAGGGACCCGCACCGGGAGGGATCCGCGCCTCGTTCCCGCTCCGCCCCGGGCTGCGGGAGCCCCACACGTTGGGGGTCGGGCACTAAGCGGGACCCCCCGCCTGGGGTCTGCTCTGTGCCCCGCAGCATCCGGCCCCGCTCCTGCCGCCCCAGCTCCCGGGCTCTTCCCGTAGCTCCGCTCTGCCCGCGGGGGCCGTTCAGCCGCTGCCGGGCACCCGGTGTCCAGCTACAGCAGGGCTCAGTGTTGGGGGACACGGGGGGACACGGGGGTGCCCGGGGGCCGGGCAGTCGCGGGGCAGGGGGGCAGGACAAGGGGGAGCTGTGGGGCCATGGGCAGCGTGGAGGTGCCCGGAGCTGCGGCACCGGGGTGCCCGTCGTGGGGAACACAGCCCGTCTGCCCGGGCAGCAGCTGCCCGTGGGCTTCCCTCGCCAGCGGCGGGGAAGGAGGGAGCTCCCTGGGGTCTGTGCGGGGCTGGGAGCCCGGGGAATGCCGCCTATGGGGAACGGGAGACGCGGCAGGATGCACAGGGGCTGCGCTCGCCCTAGAGCTGCCCAAAACCCACCTAGAACCCGGACCCCCCTCCACCGGCAACCCCCTTTCTTGCTGGTCCAGTGAAACCAACCCCCAAAACCCCAATCCCGGGAGGATCCCCAACACCCCGCTTCCCGGAGGAAGCGTCGCGGAGCTGCTGCCGGGGACGCGGGGACAGCAGGAGCCTGGCGCCTGCTCCGCGCCCCCCCGCAGCCCCTCCAGCTTGGCGGTGCCTCTGGCAGTGATTTCAGTCCCAGGGAAGCCCCAGCGCTGGGGATTCCTGGCGACATTCCCGGAGTGGAAGCGGGGCCTGCAGGGAGCGAGGAGGAGCCAAGGGGAGCGCGCTGCGTGCGGGGGTGCGGGAGGCGCCCCGGGGAGCGGGAGCTGCTCCACGGGCTGCCCTGCCCCGCACCCGGGGGTGTTTTCCTGCGTGGGGGGGTGCGGGCGGCTGGAGGTGCCGTGCGGGGCCTGTGCCCCTCGAGCGGCCGCCGCTGCTGCTGCGGCGCCGGAGCGGTCCCGGTGCCGCCCGGGGCTCCCGGTGCGTGGAGCGGCAGCAGGAAAGGGCAGGGTCTGGAGCAGCCCCAGGTGCCGCTCTGGAGCTGGGCTCCCCGCTCCGGATCAGGCACTACCGCGACCCAGAGCCCACGTCCACCCTCACGCGCGAGAGGAACTGGGGACCCGCAGCAGAAGGGTTTTACTGCCTGCTGGCCAACGTGCTCAGCCTCTGCTGTGGAAAACCGGCTCCTTTAAGCTGTGATGTGCAGCACGGCGGGATACGTTTATGGAATTACAGAATCATTGGAAGGGACCTCTAGGGATCCCCCAGTGCAGATCCTGCTCCAGCAGGGACACCAGGGCACGGGGCACCCGGTGGCACCCGGGCGGCTTGGGGAGATGCCCAGAGCAGGAGCCTCCGCAGCCTCCCTGGGCAGCCTGGGCCGGGGCTCGGGCACCCTCCCAGTGCAGCAGCTCTTCCTCCCGTGTGTAGCTGCACGTATCTCCCCAAGGCGGGACCGGGGGGGTTTGTTCTCCTGGGGGGTAACGTGCAAGCCCAGCTGCTCCCGTAACTGCGCAGCGCACGGGACTTAAAGCACAGTCAGCACTGCGGCGAGTATAAAGACATATCGCAGACCCTCACACACGGCGGGTGTCTCGGAGAGGGAACGAACCCCCCCAGGCTCGCGGGCGGCCTCGTGGCTTCCCCACGTGCCGGTGACCCCGTGCCAGGAGCGGTTCCGCAGGGCGAGAAAGTTGCTGGAGAAACTGGGGCAGCCGGAGCAGGAGAAGCTCCCGCTCGGCAGCGCGGCCGCTTTCCAGGGCAGCCCCGGCGGGGGCGCGGGGGGGCCAGGCGGGACCGGGTCCTCAAGGAGCCACTCCGCCCTGCTCGGCTTCTATTAATACCGCGCTCTGGGTGCGAAGGAGCTGCCGGAGCCCGAGGCGCTCTCATCGCTGCCACTCATTACGCGGCTGTTTCTGTGTCAGCGCCGCGCGCGGGGGCTTTTTTGGGCTGCCCTAGTTGGGGTGCGCTGCCGCGGCGCTGGGCCGGGCGCGGGGCGGCACCTCGCACCCCCCTTGGCGCTCTGGGCTCCACCGAGGAGCCCCCGATTTACCCTCCTTGGTGCTGCCGAGCAGGGCGCCCGGAGACGTCCTCCGAATTATCGTTGTGCAATTGGAGCGGGGCTGCAGGGCGCAGGGCGCATCCAGCCGGGTCCTGCCCCGGGTGCCCCAAGCCCGGCTGCTCCCCAGGCACCCCCAAATGCAGCCGCTGCCCTGCAGGGCCCCGCGCCCGCCGTGGCCTCCGCGGGGACAGGGACGCAGAGCCCCTTTTCGTGGAAATGTCGGCGTTTACGTTAAGGCAGTTAAGGTAAAGCATTGCTTTAAGGCGGGGGGGATGCGTGACCCCCCCCCCCTGCCGCCCTGTCCTCTGCCCGGGTTAGGTCCCAACAGTGTCCCACGTCACCGAGAGCCGGACGGAGAGGGGCCGCCTCCCTCTGTGCGGCATTGCGGAGCATCCGAGCCCCAAAGGACCCGATTCATCCAGGATTCCTGCAGGGAACGAACAAGGACGTTCGCTCTGCAGGGCCACCAAACGCCACGGGTTTTGCCAGGGGTACAGCGGGGTTTGCAGGGGCGCAGCCGCTGCCAGACTCCTTTCCCTGTGTCCCCACACGGTGACCGCCGTGACGTGGGGACAGGGACAGCGTGGGGAGCTGGACACGGCCTCAAGGACGAGGCGCTGGCAGCACTGGCCCCTCCTCTCGGGGGGTTTGGGTTTTGGGGCTCCAAGGGGTCTCAAGGGGGTTCCAAGGGTCCCTTTGGGTCCCCGGGGGTTTGGGGAGCCTCTGCTGGGGGGAGCCGTGAGGACAACGTCACGGGCTCCTGCAAAACGGCATCAGTCGAGTGAAAAATCGCCCGTCCGTCTGCAAACACTTTGGTATTTTTGGCTAGAGGTGACGCTTCCAGGACACCCTCACTGCTGACCCCAATTAACCTCAATTAACCCCCATGTAATTAGCTCTCAGCAGCAGAGGTTTCGCATGGCACTTGCAGAGAAGGGGCTCTGGGCTCTGTCACCTTGGGGGAGACATGGGGGACACCAAAGCACCAGGCAGCCTCTGAGACCATGTCCACACCCCAGGCACACGGAGAATCTCCCCCCGAAACCCCTCGGGGAAAGCTGTGCTGCTTCCCCAAAACGCAGTAAATTAAACTCAAAGCAGCCGCTTCAAGCAGCGCTTCCCAGAAAGGTCCTTTCGTAATTGTGCAGAGCCTCCTTTGGCTCCTAGGCATGATCTGGAGATGTTCCTGGCAGGTGGCAACYGCGGGCACACATTGGGCACAAGCACACGCTGCCTAAGAGGAAGCGCCGCAGCGTTAATCCGGACACGGCGAATGCGCGGGGAGGAAAAACCTGGGAAAATGGAGTGCGTGGGGGAAACAGGAGGAGCTTCCCGGGCCACTGCTCTGCTCTGCTGTTGTTCGCAATGGAAGATTCCCACTGAATCACAGATGGGTTGGAGGGGCCTCCAGAGACGGTCTGCTCCAATCCCTGCCCCAGCAGGTCCCCTAGAGCAGGCTGCCCGGGCACAAATCTGTGGAATTTGGGTATCTCCAAAGTGGAGACTCCAGAGCCCCTCTGGGCAACCTGCTCTCGTGCTCAACCACCCACATGGGAAAAGGAAAACGCAGAGAAAAAGCAAATGTAACTGATACTGCGCAATGCAGGACCCCTTCTCCAAGGCAGGAACCCCCCAGGACCACAACCACCACGTCTGCGCCCCGGAGGCCTCCAAAGGGCAGGCTTAAAACAACAGGTTAAGCTCAGCTTTACACCTCCGTGCTTTAAGGGTGTCTGAGGATCAAGATGAGGCGATGGTGACCAGGAGGAACGCAGCCTGCGGCATGCAGGGCAGCAGCAAGGGAGGCCTCTAGGAGGTGTGGAGAGCCGCGGTGCCAGGGCATGGTTCAGCAATGCCGGCGGTGAGCAGGAGGCTGAGCAGCAGGCTCCGGCGCTGCAATCCCAGCAGGTTGAGCCCCTCCAGCCCCAGCTCCGCGCTCTTTGGGCTGGCTGCAGCGGCGGCGTGCAGGTAGCGCTGCGGGCAGGGCGCCGCCGCGGCCGCTGCGCCGCTGTCACCTTCCATCRGAGCACAGCGCCCTGACGCGCCAGCCCGCCGACAAGCCCGTTCCTGCTGCCTGCCTGGCGGCTGCAGGCTTTGCAGGAGTCGTCCTTAATTGTGATGAAAGCCAACGCTTTATTTATTTGTTTGTTCCTTATAACCCAGGGAAAGATCTGCTAAGAAATATGATAAAGGTCTTGCAAGAGACATAGCAGAGCRGCTGGAACATGGGGGAGAGTTTGCATACACGTATAAACATTACACTCATGTTTTGCAAACCGCATCCCCATCCGTATCCCTGTTGCGCTAATTCTTCAAAGCCTTCTTTTTATTTTTTTTTCCCTATTTTTTTTCCTCCCATCTGTGCACGAGATAATCCTTGCTGTGATGGGTTAGGGGAAGGACGACGGCTAAAGGGCACGGAGCAAGGATCTTGCAGATGTCTCGCGTGAAACGCCACGTCCAAAAGCCGCTTTGTGAACCCCCGTGTTGGGGAGCAGCCCTTCCCCTCAATGCACTGCAGCTCCCTGCCCCATCTCCATCAACCAGCAGCAGCCAGGTCATGCCCGGGAGACGGATCAAGAGCGTAGGAGGAGAAGGCGAAACCGAAGCAGATGGAACGAGGCTGCAACGCAAGGAGAAAGTGGCAGGGCTGCCGTTCGCCTCCGCGTTCGGCGGCGCCTGGAAAAGCACAAGCGCTTGGGGGCCCTTCTCCCCGCAGGACACGGGGAGGCTTGGGGGACCGCCGGCTGCSTGAGCAGGGCTCTACGGGCAGGGCTCTACGAGAGCCGCGAGCGCCCGGGGCTCCTGCGGTGAGAGGCGCTGGGAGGAAGATGATGGTGAAGATCTGCAGAGACCCTCCAGAGGGGGGTCTGGGAGCCCCTTAAAGCCAAGGTCAAGGGGAGGCTCTAAGCAGCTCGTGGAGGGACAGTGAAGCCGCAGAGTGTGGGGAGCTTTGAGTAGGACTCGCCAAGCCCACGTGAGCGCTCGGCCACGCATGGCTTTGCCGGGGGTCTCTCGTCGCCGGGATTCCTGCCCCCGTTTTGTCGCTCTTTGGGGCAAACGGCAGCCTTGGCCTTGGCCAAGTCAGYGGCCAGGGTCCGCGCTCTGTGTGTGGCAGACAACTGAAACCCAACGCGGTGACCACCGCTCAAGCTTCGCTGCCCACAGCCCCCTCTGGCTCCACACAGCCTCTTCCTCACGGCTCCTTGAACGCAGCCGTTCCCTGATCCTAAGTGCCTCATCCACAYGTTTCTTGAGCGCTGCCGGGGACGGTGACTCCACCACGTCCCTGGGCAGCCGGTTCCAAGGCTTGGCCACTCTTTCCACACCGACCTTCTTCCCAGCGACCTGACCCTCCCCTGCTGCAACCTCAGCCCCTTCCTCTTGTCCCAYCCATAGTCGTCCTGGGGAAGGGACYGACCCCTCCTCACTGCAACCTCCCTCCAGGTAGTTGTGGAGGGTGACAAGGGCTCCCCGGAGCCTCCTGCTCTCCACACCCAACAACCCCCGGCCCCTCCGCCTCCAAGGCTCCAAGCCTTGGTGTCCTCCAAGGTCTCTATTCCAGCGCCAAGAAGAGCCATGAGAAGAGGTGGTGRCCAGAGACAGGCCAAGGGGCAGTGGGGACAAGGTGACACCCAGCAGGTCCCATCTCCACGGGAGGAAGAGCTGCTGCACTGGGAGGGTGCCCGAGCCCTGGCCCAGGCTGCCCAGGGAGGCTGCGGAGGCTCCTGCTCTGGGCATCTCCCAACCCATCTGGGACCAGGTGTCCAGAGGACGCTGGGCTCTTCCCAGCGGTGCCAGCGATCCAACCAGTCCAGCCAGTGCCAGCCAGTCCTGCATCACACACACGCTGATACCTCCATCACACACACCCCTCCGTGGCACACCGATACCTCCGTGGCACACCGATACCTCC